CCCCACCCACCCAGCACTTCCTGTTGGGCTCCGAAACAAGCACTCGGATTGGATGAAACTCTTTTCTCCCCATTTTTGTTTTTTGAGTCAGCTCCCGTCCCCAGGTCCTAACTACTCACTGCCCCCGCCCTCACCTCCTAACTCCTCCCCCCCTCATATACTCCTCCTCCTCTTGGACCTCACAGGAGACTTTTTTTTGTGTTGTATTTTAACTCCTGACTTGTCTTGTTGTTCCTCGGAGGTAAAAGGTACACGACTGTTCCCTTACTTGGCCGTCTGCTGCGGTGACAGTTTTATTTCTGAGCCATTGTCACTTCACAGCTCTGTGGCAACTACATGAACATGGATTTAAGGCTTGCAACCGAACTCAAACACTCACACACACACACACTGATCATTGCCCATGAGGATTTATCCCACAGTGATAGACTGGATAGGAAATCTTGTAAGTTGTAGCTGACTCTGGAAAGCAGAGAGAGAACAATCATGTGGAGCTAAACCGGACTCTTATTTCAGTTCCTAACACCCTGTTTATTTTATTTTTTGTATATTTTTTTTCTTTTTACTGTTTGGTGTAACTCACCTGGGGCATTCAGGTGGCCTCAGCCCTATTCTCCGCAGTGGAGAATATTTATTTTGTTGTCTGTGGCAATCTATACACAATTTTGTGTTTATTCCTCTTGTTGTTTTTCTGCCTTGTTAATTATTATTATTTTTTCCGGACAAAGTTGGATTTTGTTCCCTCCTTCTTGTTGATTTTGTTTATTATGTCGGCAGTTCACTGTACAAAGTTGATTTTGTTTTTTTTCGACTGAGGCTCTAGAACATTCCTGTTTAAAAAAGAAAAATCCCTTTTGCACTATTTAAGATGAGAAAAGATATGAAATCAGGCTGTGCAATATGTTGCGTTTAATGGCAACGGTCAGCATTGTACTGTTGGTAGTCTATAATAATGATTTTAAATGTATTTTAAATATGTAAAATAAACCTTTTGGACTTGAGCATGAGTTAGCAAAGCGACGTGAAGGTGAAGTTGTTTTGTTCTGCGTTAGGCTGAAGATGATTGTAGTTTTTAATATTTGTAAATAAACTACATAACAGCAAATGATGAACTGAGCGGTCTGCCTGCTTCTGTGTGAACCATTAGGTGCAGTTCCTCTGTTCAAGACCAAAATGCTTACGAGTGAAGTGATTAATCACTTCACTCGTAAGCATTTTGGTCTTGAACAGAGGAACTGCACCTAATGGTTCACACAGAAGCAGGCAGACCGCTCAGTTCATCATTTGCTGTTATGTNTCTTTGGCTCTTTTTCTGCTGTAACAACGTACAATTCCCCTCTGTGGGACTAATAAAGGTATTCTGATTCTGAAATATACAATGTCGGTCACAGTGAAAGTGTTTCCCACGCTGCAGCCACCATCTAGTCTGAAGCACAATTCTCTGTCCCTACTTAATCCTAAACAGAGTCATTTTTATGGCTCCTCAAATCCCAGTCAAAACAATCTGTATCGTCACTGTTTCTGACTCCTTAAACCATACATAACAGAGATCACTGTGCCAATCCTAACTAAATCAGTTATGGACAGACAGCTCTGCACGTCTAATTATCAAATCAAATCAAGTTTTATTTATATAGCACATTTTAAAAACGATTTTTGGTCGAGCCAAAGTGCTCTACATATAATAATTACCTTACAGTAAGGACACTATACAGTAAATACAACAGCACAGTTTGTGCAGATTATCAGTATGAGAAAATGACACCCTCTGACCTTAGACCCTCACATCGTACAAGGAAAAACTTCTGGAGAAAAACCCATAGTTTAAAGGGGAACATGGGAGAAACCTCAGGTAATTATGTGACCACTTCTTCCAGGGATATGCTTAAAGTTAAATGTTTCAATATATTTTAAATAATAATATATAGGAAATAACATACCAACAACACTTGCAACCATTTCTGACCATGAGACCTAATTTGAGACCATGTCCACTGTACATATTTGATCAGTAATTGGCTATAGCGAAACAATGACACAAGAAGTCTGAGTGGTACCTGAACGCCTCTGCTGGTAAACTGCTGAACTCTGATCCACAGGAACTGACGGAGGTTGCTGATGAAACCAGAGGTACCTGCAAGAGAAAGTGAGATGGGAGAGGAAAGAACGTCAGGCTTCTGTAAGATGTTAACACATTTTATTTCGTAAACACACACTCATATGAATACACACCTGCCCCTCCTCCCTGTAGGAACTTGAGCAGTGTGTAGATGGAGACGGTGAAAACCAACGAAGTCCAGCCGCCTCCTGCAGAGAGCTCATTCACTGTAAACACACACACACCATTTTTATTTTCAGCTGCATCATTAATTTTTTTCCGATGACATTAATGATAATCCAGTAGACTAGATTCTCAAAATTGAACTGCATTATGCTTTCTTTCAGTGCATATTTATAATTTGCTCCTTAAACGAACACTTGACTATTGCTATTACTTATTTAAAAAATAGTAAGCACAAATGCATAAATAATACTTGGATTATCCTGGAGAGTTGTGTTTATATGAGGATGTTTGATGTTGTTTTTCTGTTGTTTATTGCTGCCCTCATTTATTTGAATTCAGTACTTTGTTTGGTACTTGATTTACAACTATTTCTTCACTTTGACTGTGGTATTTCTACATTTACTCATGTAAAACACATTTCCCACCACTGACACACAAACAATCATGAACACATTCACATACTCCCCTTTTTGCCCCACAGACACATTCTCATTCACATTCATTACCATTTGGTACAAGTGCTGGGAATCAGGATGAAAAAGAGAAAACACACTCAGATGAGGGCAGTATGAGAAGAAAAGGAAGATCCAGACAGAGAGACAGACATGGTGAGAACATTTGATTTTTAAAAGATGGAGAGAAATGAATAAAGAAACGTGTGTATTCAATATTCTTTTTACTTCTCTAGAGTGTGTTTTCAGTGGGGGATATTTTCAACTCTTTGGCATTAGGTCCTGGAGTCTGAGGGTGGGAGGCGGGGTCGGACCCGGAGACAAAACGTCCGTTGTACCGGTGAGTTAACTCCACGAAAAAGGCCGCTAATGCCGGCTAAGCATGACTGGCAGGAGGGGTGACCTCCCAGAAAACCCTCCACACACACACACACACACACACACACACACACACACACACACACACACACACACTCTCTCTGAAAGCTCCTCCACGCCTTCCTCATCACACAAAGCAGCGCTCGGCTTCATTCTCTTAGCGCCGGCTTCTACTTTCATGTTGCTCCAAAAGCCAAATGGCCAGTTTTCTAAAGGGTAAAGTAGCTAAAGACAAACTGAATGCTGACTTCCTCTGAAGTGGAGGCTTCTGGGTCGCTGCCTTGTACTGGAGGCATGCAGTCCTGTGTACAAAATAGGGCAAAAGAGACTTTGGCAAATGATGACACCCCCCCCTTACAGAAATGAAGGTTGCTTTCTCCTTCAAACCAATAAGATCTCCTTTCACAGCAGCTGAACTGTTTACAGCAGCAAAACATCTTTTTGGGGATTATGATATTGCATACATGACTGAATGTATCCATTAGAGGTCTGAAGTGAATGATATAATTAACACTTGTTACAGAGTTATATGGGTGTCTTCAGCTGTGTGTTTTAAGTGTGTTAATTGCATTACATCTGTAGTTAGTAAGATTTTTTTAAAGGCTTAGAATTTGCTGAAACTGTCACTTTATGCTTACAGCAGTGCACAGGACACATATTTTGTAAGAACAATCAAAAAGGCTATAAATATTCTTATCAATTTTCAAGAAATGTAGTCTGTAAAGGTGTAATTCTTGAAAACCAAATTAAGTCTGGATGATCAAAGAAGAATGATTTAAAGCCTGAACTAATGCTGTTTTAATAAAATGACATCGAGGTCATAAACACACTAGGATGAGACTACATAGCCTAACCATAACTCAAGAAAACTAGGACATAATCAATCAAGGTCCTGATGGAACAAAGCACTTCAAAAACACGATGACACTGCTGCCCTCTAGAGTTCGAAAAATGCAGTAAACAGGAAAATGTTCCAGTTCGACTTCTGTTCCTGGGAAGTGTTTCACTGTTTGTGTCACTTCCATACGCACGTTGTAAAATACATATTTACAGAACTAAGAAATGTCTGGATCCCCTATTCCATTATTGCAGCTTCTCTGTCTTTAGCTTACCAATGTTCTTGGAGTAAACCGGCACGAGCACATTGACCAGACGCTCCGCTGCTAGCAGGCCCACACACAGCAGCACGAGTCCCTGTAGCGCCGCAGCGCCTTTGGGCCAAACATAGGGCAGCAGCAGCCTCACCTTCCTCCTGAAGCCTTGCCAGGCAGATGAGGAGGAGGGAGAGGAGGAGTGATCCATCTGGAGGGAGAGAAAGAGAGTCAGAAAATGTTGTTTTGTCATTTTTCTTAGATATCGTAATTTACGTTTTCTGTCATCTCAGAAACTGGCTATTACTGAAGATGATTAGGGCCAAATGTGAAAATGTTTTTGTGATCTGAGACTAAAGTCGGAATTCTGAGAAAGAAAAGTCAGAGTTCTGACTATAAAATTCAGACTTTTCCTCAAAATATTGACTTTTCTCAGAATTAAGTTCTTTACTGAATCCTGACTTTTTTCTGATTTCTGACTTTAATCTCAGAAGTCAACCAAACATCTGCTTTGGTCAGCTCGCAGACATTTTTTTTCACGTGGCCCTAATCCTCTTTCGTAGGCTATCGTTTAACACATAAATTCAGCATAAATAAACGTACAGCAATACGTAAATCCATTTCATTAACTCACCTCAACGACTATTTTTCCACCTCTTCCACTTTTCACAGTGATGTCTGCCATGTCATTCCTCTCCAGTTTACTGTGATTTATTCAGCAGCAGCAGAACAACTACAAGTCACTCACACACACATACATTCTTGTCCAAGGATTACTGGCAAATATGTAATTAACTCGAGCTGTACTTCTATGCTGTGATGGTTTTTAAAAGCAGTCACAGGCACTCAGGGGGATTGTACACACACACACACACACACACACACACACACACACACACACACACACACACACACACACACACACACACACACACACACACACAATTGTGTTCTGAGCTTTCAGCATAAAGTAGCTGTGGTCAGCATTTTGTTTTGAGCCGTGACTTTGTGTGAGAGAGGGAGAGAGGGTTTGACGACTGTGTGTGTGACAGGGTTATCAAAACAATAAAATAAAAGAGCTGGAGGATCAGGGATATTTTCTAAACTACAAGAAAGAGAAACTAAAATATTGTTTTGCAAGACTCAAGTATTTCAATGTGTTGGGCTAGTAGGTAGAACATATTGATACAAAAGCTCCAAGTCAATCACCTTTTTCTGTCTTTTTGGGGTTTTGTTATAATCCAAGTGTTCACTCTGCCTCTTTAAACATGTTGAAACTAAAGGCTTAATTGTAGCTTAACATTTTTCAATGCATGTGAATGTATTAATCGTGTTAAAATGTACATAAAGATTAACCTCAGCATCTACACTCATCTGGTATAATTCACATGGTTTGTTTGAAGATGTCAAATGAATAAATCAATTCAGATGATTCAAGAATATGCTGCTTTCACGCAGTGCTAATGAACCCTCTGAAATGTATCCAAATGTTATAGCACCACCCAGTGGGGAAACACACAGAAAAGCCTTCACAAGAGAGAGAGAGACAGTGAGAGGAAACATAGAAACAAGCAGGTTGTTTATTAGTAAAGAAAGAGTAACAAACCAGCAGGTTGAATGGAGTAAGAGGAGTTGGCCTGTACAGGAGTGTGCAGCTGCACACAGCGACATGAAGGCATCAGCGTGGTGTTCTCTGTGGACGAAGCTCAGCAGGAACACCATCAGGATACAGAACAGGCAGGCATTCAACAGGTGAGCCACCACGGTGCTATGCAGCTCTCCCAGCCAGGACAGATGCATTGTGGGACTAAATCAACCAGGAGAGCCTCAAGTTTAACTCTGTGTAGAAGAAGATCTGCAAGTCTTCAACATAAAACTCCTATGTCTTTATACTTCTTTAAAATGAATCATTTACATTTCCCTCCATGACATGTGATGGCTTCAGTTGTTAGTTTTTTAATTAAATAAAATCCCCCCCAAAAATGTATAGATACAAGTTCATCAATCTGCTAGGGACGCCATCCAGCAATTTGTAAAGTTATTACAATTAATGTCACTTTTATCAGCTGTGGTAGAAAAGTAATATGCACATTAATGCATCAATTGTTAGTATCTTATAATATAATATGCAATACTACCCGTATCTGAATATAGGACATTGTACTTTTACTGTTGTATGTTTTGATGCCAATACACTGCAGTACTTTTACTTACTCATTCATTCTGGTTACATTAATTCATTAAAATCCAACTGCTTAAAAACACATAGGTCTCTTACACTTTAGGACTCAGGATTCAATATGGTTGAACTTTATCAAGTATTTCCTAACCTAAAACACAAAATGTGGAGAACGGTGTTGTCTTATCTTAAATTAGACTCGATGACAGATTTCTTATTTTAAACAACCGAAAGATCAGCTTCTTCAGAGTTAAACAGAGGTTTACACTGCAGCAAGGTCAACCAGCTTTAGACAAGACTAGTACTTATACTGTACACTATTACTTCACCACATGTTTCAGATGGTTATTGAACTCCCTCCGTGTTGTGCAGATGAGTGGTAATTTGTACAGGAACCTTATTATTAACAGTTTTAACAAGACAGAAATGCAGTCTGAGAAAAGCTTAAATATTCTGGTAATATGTGTGTTTCAAGGCTTGGTTATACACCTCATGATGACCCTGAGTGCTAGGCTGAAATACCACAAGACAGAGCAAAGACTTTACTTTTTCAGTTGAAATGTAAACAAAAAGTAAATAAATGTTTAGTGTAAAAGAAAAACAGCACATGGGGAAATGTTTAGGGACCACAAACTGTAACTGAATTTAGCTTTTAGTCTTCACAATCTGATGTTAATTACCCTACATTTTTAGCAACATTTGGTAAACACTTATTGTTTAATCATGCAGCCGAAGCAATTTTGTAAGCTTAGAGCGAGGCAGTCAGGGTATTTCATTCAAGAGAAACAACTGTAGGTTTCTTAACTAACAGTTGAGGTTTCATATGGAGGCTCAAAGCGTTCAATTCTTTAACAGTAATAAGACATTATAGAATATCTATTGTATGAATAATACAAAATGTGTTAAAGCCATGACTTGTGGTATAATCCAGTTTCTTTTGCTAATACAGAGCTCACTATTTAATATCAACAGTTTCCTTTTGCATGCATCTGTTTTTAACATACTGTAGACATTTCGCCTGATGATTGTTTAATTCATAATGCCACTTTTTCTTTTCTCAGGTTTCAGAAACTGAATGAACACTTTGAGTCTCCAAAGACCAATAGGAAATACAACCATTGTTTTTAATGCTGTTTGTTTTAGCACTAATGTTAACAGCATTTATACATCAGCCTGTTAGTTGATACAGTTAGCCGCAGCCTTGAAGCACTACTTCTGTATTTATTATTGAATAATTGAACACAAAGCTGTTCTGTTTAGTAGTAGGAGATGAATAAAACATGTTCAAAAATAATGCTGTGTTTTGTTTATAGCACACTATGCTTTGTCCCTGTGGGAAGCTGACATTTCTATCTAAAATCCCTGCTAAGAAGATGAATGAGATAATACAGCAGAACATTATTACCTGAAAAGATCTTGTTACAGCTATGTTAAAAAAAACATTTGTAGATTTGCACGGACCATTCTGCATCCCTGGCTTAAATAAATGCTTACTATAGTAGTACACTAAATGCTTAGGAGGGAAAAGAGCGTTGTGAAAGCAGTTGGTGAAAGCAGAGGACAGCACTTGTGATGGCAGAACACATTCTACAATTTGTTTACATTCATCAGTAGAAACAAGACAGTAAATGAACTCTTCTGTCTAAAGACCCGATTTACAGTAGCAGCCACATCAACTATTTAACAAGACAAATTACTACCGCTATGGCTGGTTACTTTCCACAGTGGCTGCTCCACAAATGTACAAACAGATAAGTTAATTTCCCACCTTAACACCAAATGTCACAGGTTTTTGTTTAAGAAACAAGACAGATTTCTAAACCTGATTTCTAAACCGTACCTGGTGAATTTACATGCAGGTTATCCCTGATTATTCTACCTTTTCTGTAAACTACATAAGCATTTTTTGGACAATTGTAAACAGTGATATCAACGAATGATAAGTGTCCTATAGAAAGGGTTTCAGTCTCCACGGTGCCTTCTCCTGTAAAAGGTCCAGTCGTCCTCTGTATTCCGTTTTTTCTCACCTTCAATGTACTGATGCTATAACTGCCCATTTCAACCCAGTTTGTGTCGTCCATGACGGTTCAGTTCAGATCAGTCAGTGATTTGATGTAAATCCAGCGGTTCACTATGACACTATTAATAACGTAAATTCTGCTGCTATAGTCCAGCAGCTGTTCAGTTCAGTTTGATTTCTTCACCTAGCGAAGACAGACTGCTCCAGGTCACATTTCCAAATATGATTTCACTATCAACCTCAGTTCTGAAATAAATAAACATTCGATAAATAAAAAGTATATCATAGTGAGGGTTCAGCGCTGTCCAGTCCAAGAAACTTTACGTGTTCACAGCTGCAGTTTTTATATATTGTCATTCAAAAATGATCCGTTATACTTCATACCAAACGCACAAATAAGAATTAAATATCCTGTTTGAGACTAGTTGTTTTTGCTCTCTACCGTTCAGACTTTTTAGTTGATTATTTTCAAGGAATTTCCCAAAAGTCATTTGGACAAGCAAGTAATTGTTACCTTCACCAACATGGAGGTTATTTTTTTAGCTTGTTTTTTGTTTGTCAGCGCGATATTCATGAAGCTTGTTAGACAAGAGTAAAAGCTATTACATTTCAGAGGATAGCAAAACAAAAACAAAAATTACTTTTTAGTGTCTTTAGAATGACCAGATAGGGCATGACCTTTGCATTTAACAAATCACTATGCATTCAACGCCACAGTTACCAGAACATGCATGCTATCGGGTCGATTGGCTTATATTTTGTCTCACAAGTTATTTTGTGAATGAATCCCCAGGTTCTGGTAATCCAGTCAAAGGCTTCTTGATAGAGGTCCAGGATTAAAACAGCAACTAAACCAACATTTTCTTTAGACTCTCTTTCGTGAGTTTTTCTCATTCAAATCAGACTATATGAAAACAAATGCATCTTTAGCAGGTTTTTCACAGTGCATTACCTCATTGGTCACTGTATAAACTCACTAAGCCTTTTTAATGTGCTCGGTCATGTTAGCAAAAGCATGTGATCTGATCATGGGTGGTAAATGCTTTTCAGTTGGTGAGTGATCCCTGCACCTCTCTACAGATCCAAGTGAATAAGATACAAGATCAGATTATCTCTCAACATAACTGGCTCCGCTTGCCTCCAATATACACTCTCTCCCTGTAAAAATAAATATTACAAATATAAACTAATGTTGCCATAATGTTTGCTCACAGTGTGTTTTCTAAATGCTAATTTTCTCAACTTTTAGATTTTTTCTTTGGGTTTTATGGGGTGTTCTAGGCAGTTTTTGGAACCCGCTTCTCATGTAATGGTTGAAACTAGGTGATCTAGTGTTAGTCAATAAATAAATATAATTCAGCCATTTATTTCAATTATTTCATCTTCTTATTATAAGTTTGGTCTGACTGGTCCTTGGAAGAGGATTCAATCTCGCACTACATGACAAATCCAGGCACCAAATCCCTTTCCCACGCACACATTAATAAATACAGGATAAAATGAAATGCTTAAAATATATGGTAATGTTATTGTTGGGGTCCCGGTGGTCACAGTGTGTTTCCCATGCTGCTGCTCACCAGCCCTTTGATATTAGTGATGGGCCGGACGTCATGCAGCTGTTTTCTCCTGTCAATAAATGTGGCCAGCCGCGTAGTGTCCAGGGGCTTCTTGGAGTATTCCCCACCGTGTGCCCCCCCGCGGCCCACCCAAGGGTGCTGCAGACAGGAAGTAGCGCTTGGCCTCTTCCTGGGATCCTGCTGCAGCAGCGAGGACACAAAGTCCCTCGCCGCCTGGCTCACATCTCGGAAGTATTCATCCGGGAAGCAGAAGTCCAGGCGGCAGATGTTCACGCAGGTTTCCTCCAGTGACTCATCCAGAAACGGGGAAACCCCACTGAGCATCACGTAGGCCAACACGCCCACGCTCCACATGTCCGTGGCGACAGAGACTGGAGTCCCACGGATGAGCTCAGGTGCAGCGAACTCTGGGTTTCCGAGCAAGAGGTGGACGTACCGGCGGTGAGCGGACAGCTGGATGGCATCACCGAGGTCGATGAGCTTAATGCCCGGGGTGTGAGAGTGGAGGTCCACCATGATGTTCTCAGGCTGCAGGACAGAGAAACATATACAGATTATGTTAATATAAAATGTGATTCTTATAAACAGTTACAAAAAGATGCAACTCCAAAAGTTCTCAAATTCAATTTTACATATCAATCAATCAATCCGTCACCCTCTCTCCTTAGACCCTCACAGTGGACAAGGATAGCTCCCAAATAAAGGTTGCCAAAAAACACTACATGGGGTCAGGCAGGACCCCGGCAACAGTTACAGCTACAGCCAAGACTATTGATGCAAATGTCTCATACAGCTCCAGCAGATAATCGATTACATTACCAAAGCACAAATGAAAACAAATAAGAAACTTGCTCCATTGGTAGGTGAAGTTAGTCTTCATTGATGTAGCACACACTCTCACCTTCAGATCCAGGTGTGTCACTCTGCAGGTGTGAAGGTGCTGCAGGGCCTCGAGTGTCTCTCTGATGAAGAACGCCACCTTCTCCTCCATCAGCTCATCACAGGCCACCAGGTAGTCGAGCAAACGCCCGTCCTCCAGCCTGACACACACACAGGATTATAAGACTCCAGTGTTAAAGGTCACCTATTATGCAAAATCCACTTCTTCATGTCTTCTATACATCAACATGTGTCCCCTCTGTGTAAAGAGACTCTGAAAGTTTCAGGCAAAAAGATTCGCTCTCTTTTTGTCCTGATCCATTTAAATAGAAACCTGTCTGAAAATGAGCTGATCAGATTTTGGACACTCTATGAAGTCATAATGATTTGTTAGCTTGTGTAACCATTAGCCAATCACCAACCAAGGTAACCCCCACCCCCCCCACCTTATCACCTGAATCTCCTCCTAGAGCAGTGCTTCTCAAAGTGTGGTCATTAGTCCAAGGAAAAGTCATCTAGAACTTGGGTTAAAAACTTAACCATAAAAACACATAAATTAGTATACATTCAAAACTTACAAAGGCAAAGGTCACTTACAATAACAAAACAGAACGTCACACAACATTGTACGAAAAATGAGACAAAGTCCAACGCCAATTTAAACAACTCATTCTTCTACGTCTTCTTCCTCCGTCCACCGAGTACTCCGTCCTGCAGAAGGTTGTGCACGTCGTAGTGGTCGACCACCGCGACGACCTGTGCATGCTCAGAGGTTGGAGAGACTACGACTGGTACCTCGACACTCAGACTGACTAAATTTTCTTGGGAGGACGAGAGTTTTTATTGCAATAATACTGTTTTACTTGACATTACAGAATTCTGGAACAGGGGAATTTCCAGGGATAATAAGACAGAAAGTAGTTATATATATATTTATATATTTTGTACAGAGACTCACAAACCGAGGTGTGGTTTGTCTAGTTAACGTCGAAGGGTAATTAGGGAGACAAAGACAGACGGGACAAAGTTTTCACGACTAAGAGACAGACAAATTGAAATCTACTTTTATTCCTCGGGGAGGGGTGCGGGGAGACTCTCTATAAA